TCTGAGTTTAAAAGAGTTTAGAGATCACTTAGCCAGAAGCATAGCAGTGGGTAAAGTACTGGGCTCTGGAATCAGAGGACCTGGGTTCAAATCTAGGGCTCTGCTGCTTGCTACCTGTATGCCTTTAGACAGGTCACCTCACCTTTCTGTGCCTCAGTTTCTATATCTGTAAAATGACAGGGTTGGACTATTAACTTCAGGTCCCTTCAGGCTGTAAATCTATGATCCTCATGATGGCTCTAATTCTATGATTATGATGCCCCCACTCAGAGATGAGGAAAGTAAGGTTTGGTGACTTGCCCAAGGTCACACTGAAAATCAGTAGCAGAGCTGGAACTAGATTCCAGGTATTCTCTTTGTCCAGTTTCTTTCCACTAGGATTCGAAAAAGATAGTTTCTTGAAGGCAGAGGGAATGCAGCTGATGGGGGCTGGGGGTGAAAGACTTGGTTTGGATGCAGAAGCTCACCTGTTCTCCTTTCCTCAAAAGGTCAAGCTGCCTCTCCTAACCATGGTTCATGTCTTTCCATCCTCCCTGCAGGTGAGGATGGGGAGCCCTGAAGATGATCTCATTGGGATTCCCTTCCCAGACCACAGCAGTGAGCTCCTCAGCTGTCTGAATGAGCAGCGCCAGCTGGGCCAGCTGTGTGATCTCACAATCCGAACCCAAGGCCTAGAATACCGAACCCATCGGGCTGTGCTGGCTGCCTGCAGCCACTACTTTAAGAAACTGTTCACTGAGGGAGGTGGGGGCACAGGTGCTAGTGGTGGCATGGCTGCCTCCTCAGGTGCCGGCGTCTGTGAACTGGACTTTGTGGGCCCAGAAGCACTGGGAGCCCTGCTGGAGTTTGCCTACACGGCCACCCTCACCACCAGTAGCGCCAACATGCCTGCTGTCCTCCAGGCAGCTAGACTGCTGGAGATCCCCTGTGTCATTGCTGCCTGTGTTGAAATCCTGCAGGGGAGCGGGCTGGAGGCCCCTGGTCCTGATGAAGATGACTGTGAGAGAGCCCGCCAGTACCTGGAGGCCTTTGCTACTGTGGGCAGTCGGGTGCCCAATGGTGATGACAGTCCACTACCAGCCCCTCTTCCACCACCCCCCCCCCCAACCCCGCCCGCTCCCCCCAGAAGCCCCCAACCCCGCAAAGCCCTTTTTTGCACACAAAGGGGCCTCAAACCAACCATCTGATGTCTGATGTGGCTGCCATCCCCCCCCACCCCTTTACCTACCCAGATGAGGAAGAGGCAGCAAGTGGCATCAGCCTAGGGGATGGCTATAGCCCCCCTGGTGGGGCCAGGTCACCCCCCGAGGGGCACCTGGGCTATGAAGGATATGATGGGGAGGAAGAAGAGGAAGATCTAGTATACCCACCAACCTATGGGCTGGCTCAGAGTGGGGCACCCCCCTTGTCCCCTGAAGAGTTGGGCTCAGATGAGGATGCCATTGACCCTGACCTGATGGCCTATCTGAGTTCCCTGAACCACGAAGCCCTCACGCCAGGGATAGATGGCCAGGACAAGCTGGTACGCAAGCGTCGTTCCCAGATGCCCCAGGAATGTCCAGTTTGCCACAAGATCATTCACGGGGCAGGCAAGCTACCCCGACACATGCGGACCCACACCGGTGAGAAGCCTTTTGCCTGTGAGGTCTGTGGCGTCAGGTTCACCAGGTGAGAGGGTACCCAGCTTTGGGGGGAGGGGGCAGTGGGCAAGAGGGTAAAGGAGAGTGCCGCACCTACTAAAAACCCAGGAAGGGGACAACTACTCAGTGGAATCCCCAGCCAAGAGCAGGGGTGGAAGCCAAGGGAAGATTGTATAGGAATGCAGTGGGGAGTGGAGAGTTGGGGAAAGGAAGGGGGTGAAAAGGCCAAAATTAGAAGTTCAAGGATACTGCCATAGGGCATGAGGGACATAGGACAGGTGGGCATTTCAGCAAATAAGATAAGTGCAGGCAGATGAAGAGCAGAACGATGCCAAAATGAGTTGTTTGTCCTTCGTTCTCAAAGAGGACCATGACATCAGGAAGGAGATGTCATGACTTGCAAGTGAAGTGGATTTAAGTGAGGGAGGGCTGTACAAGGTTACACTCTTTCCTAAGGAGCCATCTGGGCCCAGTGGGAAGATATAGATCAGGAAGGCTGGAGATGGTCCCAGTGCAGTGGGAGGCCTTGGCCTCTTTGAGCTAAGGTCTTTCTCTGGCCTCAGTTTGTCCAAGGCAACACCCATTCAGTGATTAAGGCTAAGTAAAAATGAGGCCAAAATGGGAGAGAAATTAAGGAAGCCCGATGCCTGAGGGCAAAGCTAAAAGGATGATGATAAAAGAACCGAAGGGGTGGAAGAAGTGGGAATGGGGGTGAGGAGGAAAGGCAGATACCTACAGAAATCAGGTTAGTCAGGCCTATGCAAAGGTCACAAGGACTTTTTCCAGGCCTTATTTCTACCTGCAGGTCCTTACCCTATCTCTTCCCACCATCCCCAACTCCACCCCTTTCCCCTCCCCAGGAATGACAAGCTGAAGATACACATGAGGAAGCACACTGGTGAGCGGCCATACTCATGCCCACACTGCCCAGCGCGCTTCCTCCATAGCTATGACCTCAAGAACCACATGCACCTGCACACAGGCGACCGGCCCTTTGAATGCCACCTGTGCCACAAGGCCTTCGCCAAGGAGGACCACCTGCAGCGTCACCTGAAGGGCCAGAACTGCCTGGAGGTCCGGACCCGAAGACGAAGAAAAGATGATGCACCCCCCCACTATCCCCCACCCCAGGCGCCCACCCCAGCTGGCCCTGGCCTTGACCTTTCCAACGGGCACCTGGATGACTTCCGCCTCTCCCTGGCGCGTTTCTGGGAGCAGCCAGCCAGGGCTGGGCCTCCTCCTCCACCCCCAGGGCCTCCTGAAGAAGATGAGGAGGAGGGGGCACCAACCACACCCCAGGCTGAGGGTGCCATAGAATCCTCTTAAATGAGAAAAGGAGCTGGACTAGGGTGGAGTCCCAGGGTGGGCACAAATGCCAAGGAATATGAGGGCTGTGGAGCACAGACTGCACTGTGGGGCAGGGGAACTTTGCCTTCAAGGGTACCAGACCCGCTCCTCCTCTGTACCTTGGCAGCTCTGGGCTAGTCCCACATACAGGGAAAAGTTTGGGCTCTCCCCCAGATTGGGGCAGACTCCCTCCCACCAAGGGGTGATGAATATATATATGTATATATACATATATAATATTTTGTATATATATATATAAATATATATACATACACACACACAGCTCTATTGTAAAGG